TATCCAAATGATGATGGGCAGCAGCACCAAAATCTAAACAATTGTTCCATACTCCACCTCTCCTAAAAATGTCATCAAAATCCATTCATTATTTTGAGTTATGTTGTTAAACAAACCAACAAAGACCAGCATAAACATCAACACTGCTTTGTGAAGGTAATAAATCGCTACATTTTAAAGGCATGCTATTTTTTATATTTCATGTTTTCACAAAGTAACATCCTGAAACACAAAATTCAGAAACCAGCTGGAGCTAATGGAGGAAGATCAACCTTTATTTATTGAAACTGCTTGCATACAAAATATATTGCACTATAACCAGACATGTCAACCCAAACATCTCAAATGCTAGTATTATTTACAAAAGGAAACCAAAAATGCCCAAAAGTGCACACAAGGTTTTACAGCTCTTTTGACTACCCTGGATTATGTATCTACAGATTCTCTGTGTGTCTTCCCTTTCTAGCACTCCATGTTTGAGCAACCCACAATGTGTCTTGTTAGTTAGTACATGTTGATGTTATATACATTCTACAAATAAATGGCCGCTGTGAGCCACCAAGCAATGGCAAGGACATTTTTGGGTAATTTTAGTTATTGTTCGTGCCGCATGAACCATGCCGCAATCCCAACATCACTGAGCGATGGAGGGATGCAAAAGAGCCATTTGGGATTGTATCACAGTTGAAAAGACTTTGAACTGAACTGGAACTCCCCGATTCAAATCATTGTGCTTCCTGCATTGCTCTTGGATGCTTGACATGTAAAACATTTGTTTTTGTCCAGAGGGAATCTCTTTTGGGACATCAAGTCAAAATCAAGGTTTGTGGACAAGGATGGGTCTGTACTCAAGTCATCTGACCACATTTGCAAGACAATACAATACAATATCACAGCTTTAAGTGTAAGAATTAGTTATTTGGTCTAATGTCGTGATTTGGGCAACATCCCGTTGGGCTGACGAAGAATGAATGTTATTTATGCCAAATGTAACTGCTAAATTAGCATTGCCTTTTTTCAGTGCAACCCACTGAATGGGGTTAGTAAACAAAAAAAAAAAAAAAAAATTACAAAATACTAGAACATTAGAACACCGCACCTCTCACTATAATCTCAACAGCTGAATAACAAGAAAAGTCTGCTAGTACCCCACATCCTCACCACAAAAACATTTCAACTTTGTCAGCTGATATGAAACTTTTCATTATGGGAAAACCCATTTTAAGTAAAGCAGACACGCCCAATCAAAAAATTTTCACTCTCAGCCATTTCAAGTCTGTTTAGAATGACAATACTGGAAATCTCCAAAACGCTTATATTAATTGTTGACAACAGATAACATGCCTGACAGAAGACACGTTTTGGAGCACATTTCATGAGAACATCCTTATACATCAGCACCTGTTCAAGAAATGATTTAACAGAACATACCATTCACCAATTTGTAATATGAAAAGTTTCATCTAAATTAACAGGGATGGTATAGAAGCATTACCCTTCAAATTCCATCTTTAAGTTTTATACACTTTTGGTAGTACCATTCTACTTTGAGTACCAAATTACAGGTTACTGTACTGTTCTAATGTACTGCAGACAGGTTGCATTGAGGACAGTGTCACAACAAAACAAATCAAGACAGTGTGAGTTGAACAATATATCTGCAAAAACTTGGATGTCCTCAGTTTTTCACAGGCCCATTTTGGGATCCCCCTAAGTTATGTCTGTAGGTACCCTATATGACATTTTACACTTCCAGGATGAATAAAAATGTACAGTTTGATTCTGGGGGAAAAAATGTATGCATGCTCTTCCTTGTCTTATACTGTGGTTTGGGATCCCAAATGGTTCACAAAGCTGCCACTAATATGCAAATGTTGCCCATTTAACTTTCCATATGACCACGTTTGCAATGTTTTCCAGAGGCTAGATATCAGTTGGAGAAACCACATTTCGTATTTTTCTGAAGTTCACCATGATCTCCACTGTACTCATTTAAGCTAGTTTTCATTGTAGGTCACTGAAAAACAGCACGGTCGTTCTTTCCATACTGTAATATAACTTTAGGTATAGGAGACTCCATTGTAGAACTGCTTCCTCAACATTCTTCAATGGCTCCAACTGGTCAGCATGCAACAGTCCTCCCTAGTCTTTTTTAATTTACATGTTCCACTATAGTACAAGCCTTGGTCTAGCATTACGATTTGTTAGTAATGCCCTTAAATATTAAACCAAAGCATGAAAAAGTCATTAAACTGCTTTTGTTGGCTGAATTCTAGCAGTTAAAAGTCCAACATACACTCTAAACCTGGTGTTTGGAGGCACAATATAATACACCAACAAGAAGGTTCAAGCACAACTGTAGGTGCAAGGAAAGTCACTGTCACTGGTGTGGCACAACAAAGATGATGTGAAGGTAGATGCTTTGTGGACTCATTAACTTTTATAGCCCCAAAGTCTGTTACACCTTCCAAATGCATCAAACCACATGTAGAAAGTGTGTTTTGTGCCAGTTCAGGAGAAACTGGCTTTCAGAAGAAAGCTCTCCGCACCAGCACCTTGCTTACCCTTACAAAAATGACAGTAATAAAAACTTAAGGAAACCTAAACTGAACAGTTATTTTCCACCACTGTAACAACTGAAAAACAAGAAGCTGGGTTTAAATTATTTTGGTCTCTACAAATGAACATTGACAAGTCCAGGGACCAATGTACAAGTCATGTTTATCGTAAATTTAAAGGGAAAATGCATCATAAAAGATTATTCACATAGGTTACTTCAGTACCTGCGTGAGTCGAGCCTTTCCCAAATCTGCATGGATGGTACAGGCTGAAATGTAGATCAACATTATGGAAACTATTAAGTTAGTTGGCAAAATCAATACCATTCATGTCTCTGCATATTAAGTGCCTGGAGACAGCTAGCTCAGGTTAGCATACCAACTGGAAGCCAGGGGAAACAGCTAGCCTTGCCTTGTCCAAAATTCCAAAAATGTGCCAACCTGCACCTAAAGGTCACTAATTAACTGTCTCTCGTTTGTTGAATCTGTACAAGAACATGTTTTGTTTTCACAGAGACTTGCATGTAGAACATAGTACAACTTTTGACTGTTAGTGTTATAAATAAACAAATGAAAATACAGTGTGGTGACTAGCTTAAAAGCTGCTGGGAGTGGTTTTTGTGTACTTCAGAGAGAGGCAGACTAGTTGCTTACCCTTACCTCAAGCCTTCATGCTAAGCAAAGCTAATGGCTCCCGGCTCTAGCTGTTAGTGCACAGACATGACAAATTTGTGTTACAATCAATTATATCTTTTGTTGTCTATGAATTACTAAACTACCTACTTTAAAGATACACCAAATCTACAGGTGTGATTAATAACATATCTCGATAGGTTTCGGTTTAATGAACATATGGGATGGATTTCAATGTTGTCCAAACTGGTATTAACTGCCAACCAAGCCAAATATCGTATAAAGCCACTAAATCAGCTTTACATTGTCAACTATTTATTTCAAAATGAAAATCCATTATAATCATTAGAATTAGTCAAAATTCCTTTGCAAGTTTTCAATCTTTAATTTTAGATTAAAGGTGGGCTTTCCCTGGTCAGGTAAAAAAAAAAAAAAACATTTTTAATGTAACATTAATTTTGAAGTTCTGCAGCACTATGGACATTTCATAACAGCCGTGTGACTCAACCCTGCTATTTTTTTCCGCACATCATTAAGTTTATTATCAAGAGCTCTACTATAGCATTAACTGACATTAAACAGGAAAAAAGAGAAAATGTCAGGATAAGTGTACATTTGAAACAATAGTACAAATCCTTCCTCAGACAAATAATGACATTATTTACAGTATACCACCCTCCCTTCTTTCTTTTATCTTTTTTTTTTTACCATACAAAGCAACTCCATACTGTTGATGCTCTATTGATAATATAAAGATTACTTTCACTTGAGCCACTTGATGCAATGCAGAAAATGTTTACTGGGTAAAAA